ATGTGGGTAGTTCATGTCAAATTATTTCAGGGCGTTACACATGCTATGCCCTTTTTGAAGATAAATTACATTTTCATCTTTTAAAAACTACCATGCTGAATGATGTCATGCAATTTCAATTGTTCAAAACTCAACAATTTATTTCAAGGACAGTAAATATGACTTTGGTAATCCCTAGGTCGGTGTCTGCAAGTAGACCATACAAGTACTACCAATTTGTCATTTTTACCAGTATTAATTGGAAGGCTCGACACCTATCATCTACACCACCTTTCAATCCCTAGGTTGGTGTCTGCAAGTAGGCTATATAAGTACTACCAATTTGTCATTTTTACCAGTATTAACTGGAAGGCTCGACACTTATTATCTACACCACCTTTCAAGACTTACTATCGTATTTATCCCAAATCATTTCATGAAAACTTGTTTCTCAACACTCTTTTCTCAATGCAAGTTTTCAAATCAACTTTCAAAATTTAATGTAATCAAATGAATTGATATGCCAATAACACAAGATGAACATAAATACTGTTAGTCCAATTCATCATCCAAGGAATAACACAATTCCCTCTTCTCAAGTATCCTCAACAATTAGTCATTTCAAGATTATTTCAACGTTTTGAACAATAATTTCCAAAATGAACAACAATTCTCATATACCCTGAAATTCATCATTTATATAAATATAAATAAGAAATTTTCCAAGCATCCATTTATTTTGACACACAAAATAAATATAACAATATTATCCATGATCTCTCAACATCTTTTTAAAACTCCTATTTTCTAGGTTTTCTTACCAAAACGGTTAATCTCCAAAACATTTAAGAAATCTCACCAAAGACATCTTTCCTTAATCAACATAGTTCAAAACCCTAAATTTCTATTTCAAAGGATCAAATGATAAACTCACTTTCAAAATCACTATTTTTCTTGAATTAACAACCCATTTTCCAAAACAAATCAAAGGATGATTTCGAAAATAATCTTGATCTTGCAAAAATATATATATAGCTCAAAGAAAATCCCTACCTCTAGCCAAGAATCTTTCAAATTTTTCAGCAACAGAAATTAAATTTTCTTGGAGCCAAACGACGCTTTTTCCACCCTCTACGTTTTGATCCAAAGCACTTCAATTTACGACCCCAGCAGAACCTTCCTATTCTGACTATTGCCGAGGAAAAGATAAATGCAAAACATCTCTCTTTGATCAATATCATTCAAAGATGCAGATTGCAACAGCAAACCACCAAATATGTGAACATCATATGAAAAAAAAAATAAATAAATCAGCACGTGACCACATCAAAACTTCTGCATCATATAAGAAGCCTAACTTCCCAACCTGGCATCTTACTTCCTTTAGGGGGTGGCTACTAGTTTTGATAAAACTTCTGTCCCAGTACCAAGATTCACGCTCAACGTTACCTTTTCTCTTTTAGCTATCTTCTTACCAACAGGTTTGACATATGGCGAAAAACTAAATAACACACTGAGGCAGAATTTACCATCTTCATATAGTAACTTCTGAGACCAACTGGCTTTCATAAAAATATTTGAACCCCCTTCAACCTGGGGAACTTTTACAGTGTATATCTGTTGTTTCAGTAGGAACCCATCTTTGGCTTTGTCTACTTTTTTCTAAATCTTTTGCATCTTCCATTGGGATCAATTGAGTATGGTATGATCTTCTACCATCATCAACCTCGACACCTAGAACTGAACCGTGGTCGCCCATCGGCAGGCTTGGCCCTGAGGGCAGGCCAAAGAGGCTTGCGCCTTGGGCCCCCAGATTTGGACTGAAAATAGGGTCTCAAAATATGATTTTGTGTTTTAGATATTAAAAAAATCCAAATACTGTAAGCCCAATTGTATATGGGGCTTAAAAAAAATATATCATGATAGATTAGAGGCCCAACTGACATGGGCCCAAAAACAAGAAACACATTATAGTTTATAATACCCACCCTGAGGCTAAGAACGTGGGTCACTGAAAGAAAACAAACATGGAAAGAAAAACATATCTCTCTCTCTCTCTAGTATTGGACTGATGAAACCTTCAATCCTCTCCTCTCCTCTCCTCCATATTTGGCGGACGCTGAGCATTAACAATTTTGGGCATCAAAACCGTGAGTCTCTCTCTCTCTCTCTCTATATATATATATATATATATATCACATTTAAATGGAGGAAGTTTTCGCCATTATTTTTTTCCTAATTTCTTCCCCTATATAATTTGTTCTTTAAATTAGAAAATTACCTAATTTATGTGTTTTAGTGGAAGTCTATAATTTTTGTTATGCTCTAATTCTGAAAGTATATTATTTGTAGAGATCAGTAATTGTAAATTTGTGTGGATTTGTGATAGAGTAATCATGCCTCTTAGGAAGTATATTTCTAGATGTGAAAAAAGGAAAAAGAAGCAAAAATTAGAAAATTTTATTCAATCTCAATTGGGAGCGCTTGATAAATTTTTTGGTAGCAAGAAACAAATAGAAAGTTCATGTTTGGTTGATGAAGATTTGGTAATTGAAGAACTTAATCAATGTAATGAGAATGATAATGAAGAATTTGGGTGTTGAAGAGCCTATTGAATGTTTGAATGAGAATGAAAATGAAGATTTGGCTACAAACAAATAAAAAAAGTTGTTGTAACTTATCGTTTTATCAATCAATTTTTTTTTTTCAATGTAAGAAAGGCCCCAGTTCCGAAAGTTGCCTTGGGCCCCCTAAATGTCAGGCCGACCCTGCTCATCGGTATCATGATTTGACAATCGCAGCTTTTGCTTGACATAACACAATGAACACGCCAAGTTCCACTAACCGTAACGAACGTGGTATCCAAATAACAATACACCTCCATCTCAATCCTATGCATATGAAGCGGAATCAGCGCCGGCGGATCGCATCGCCGTGAACGTACGGCTGGTAGCTCGGTACATCAGGATTATCCACAATCGACGGTTCAAATATCATAGCATAAACCATCACCGGCGTCGGAACATAACTCTCCAACGACTTCTCCATTGCCGCCGTCTCGGGCAGTGGCTCCGAAAGGCATTGGAGAACCATCAAACACTTGAAATCGCTGCAGTTTTGACGGCTTCTCCACCACCACCACCTCCACCTCCGCCCCTCCATCACTAGCATTCACAATCAACGGTGCTAATTTCTTTGAATGGTTTTTTATTAAACCCCTACTCTTCCACTGACTTTGATTTCGAACCCTTCTCTTTGAATCCTCTACATATTGAGTCCTCTAAAGACGAGGACACAACTTGCAAAAACTGTATACAAACCATGAAACACACTGTCACTGAACTAACTCCATCTATTTACTAAACCAACTCACTCACTCAGGTATCACACTTGGAATTTGCATTTGTGTATCTAATACTCCGATCTATATATCTTTGTATATATATACCCAGAGAGAGAGATAAGGTTCAGCCACTTGAGTTATGTTATGTTTAATGGCCAAGAAAAATGTATCATCCACATGCTGCTTTTCGGTGCCACTAACTGAACATCATGATTTTTTTTTGATCAGCAAAGAAAAATTTCATTAATAGCATGAAATTTAGAGTACAGGTAGATGAAGTGCACCGAGAGAGATTCGGAAAGTACAAAGTACCCCTACTACTGCTACTCACACCCAAACAACCAACCCCTCAGCCTCACAAATTTTTAAAAGATAAAATAAAAAACAAAGGTTAAGAAGAACTTAACTCAACAAAAACCATGACACCCCACAAACTACCCCCACAAAATCTAATTAATACACACCACATATGTAAAACACCCACTAACAAAACACCCAATGGAAGACCACCCACTACCAGAACATCCAATTAACCCATTTAATACTACTCTCCAAACAGAACACCCCCTAACTATAGTCGAACACCCATAGCAACCTAATACACCCCAGGACAAACAACCAACCAAAACACCCATTGTACAAATCTTCTACTCCGGACCAAACTCCACACACCCACTGCAGAAGCTCCATGTTACCAACCCGAACACCGAGAAATGTTCCTCCTGGTGCAGCCCAGCACACTGCTCTTACAGCTAAGTGGTTCCATCCTTTCAATCTAGATAGTAAGGAGGGAGAGAAGAGGGTTTACAAATTTGCTAAGATACGGGAGAGGAAAACAAGAGATTTTAATCAAGTAAAGTGCATCAAGAGTGAGGATTCTAAGGTATTGGTGAAGGATGATGAGATTAAGGAAAGATGGAAGAATTATTTTGAGAAACTATTAACTAAGGAACATGGAGGTACGACAATAAGGGAAGAAATAGCCAGCAATACGATAAACTAAGACTATAGGTTCTATCGCAGGATTAGGAACTTTGAAGTGGAAATTGCACTTAAGAAGATAAAATCATATAAGGCTTTAGGACCTGATAATATCCTTATTGAAGCTTGGAAGTGTTTGGGTAAAATGAGAGTTTGTTGGTTGACTAGGTTGTTTAGCAAAATTTTGTTGACTAGGAACATGCCAGATGAATGGAGGAAGACACTACAAGAATTTACACATTTTGCGACCACTTTTGTCGACTAAAAAAATTTTGGTCGTAAAAAAATGACATTTGGCGACCAAATATTAATTAGTCGCGAATGATCATTATTTTTGGCGACCAAATATTATTGGTCGCAGAAGGTTATATTTTGGCAACCAAAAAATATGTTGGTCGCAGAAAGTGGTATACTTTTGCCGACCAATTACAAATTTGGTCGCGGAAGGTCACATATTTTTTGGCGACCAAAAATTTGGTCGCGAAAAACTTATTTTCAGCAACCAAAAAAAATTAGTCGCCAAATTAGTACTTTTAGCGACTAATATTTTAGTCGTTGTTGATTGAGATTTGGCGACTAAAAAATTTGTCGGTGAAAGAACCTGTTTTTGCGACTAATTTGATCTTTTGGTCGCCAAAAGTTTGGGGGGAAATTTGAAAGATGGAGGGGGGAACTGAAACTTGCAAGTGTGGAACACTGAAAGGAACAAGACTTTCGAAGTAGCAGATGACTCCCCAAACCTCATTTTCTCTCTCATGTCGAAAACCCTTCTCTCCCGCATTAAACCTCGTCACAACCCCAAACCCAGTTCTTCCCCTTCCTTCTCCTTCAAACCCTTGATCAAGCGACTCGTCAACGAACTCTGTGACATCCTCAAAACCCACCACCACAATCAATGGCAAGACACCCTCGAAACCCACCTCTCCGAAGAAGAAATCGTCCCATCTGACATTGCCCATTTGGTGCTCGACCGTATTCGCGACCCCGAATTGGGTTTGAAGTTCTTTGATTGGGTCACTCAACGCCCATACGGTTGTTCTCTTGATGGGTTTGCTTATTCTTCTCTTCTTAAGCTCTTGGCCAGCTCTAGAGTGTTTTCAGAGATTGAGACTGTGTTGGAGAGTATGAAAGTTGAAGACAAGTTACCGACTCGGGAAGCTTTGGATGCTATAATTCGAGCGTATTCGGATTCTGGGTTAGTCGATAAAGCCCTTGAAATTTATACTACTGTGCTTAGTACTTCTAATTCTGTTCCAAGTGTTCTTGTTTGCAATTCTTTGCTTAATGCGCTTGTAAAAGAGGGTCGAATTGAAATTGCAAGCCGGGTATATGATGAAATGTTTGATTCGATCTATTGATTCGATTCAAGTATGGTAGGTTTCGATTGAAGATCTATTGATCGATTGAAGATCATAATGTGCAGTGTAGATGTTAAAATTGAACACAAAATAGATACATACATATATATGAATAGATTGACAAATTTTATTTTACAGTCAAGGTCTCGATCTCATTCTTTATTTGTTGTACATACATGTTTATATGTACAAAGGAAGTCCTGAAACAGGGGAAAATCAGTAAACCTGTGGTTGCTTGGGTCAGTGGAACTTGTGCACGTCTCTTTAAGTCAGAAGTACAATTTGGTCATGCGGTGAGCTACTGCTAAATTTCCTTGGATATAATTTTTGTTTATTTATTTTATTTTATTTTTGGTGTTATTTTCTAATTTTGCTCAACGTTGCTTAAATTAGGGAGCCAAAAGTGGTGGTGAGATGGAGTCTGCACAAGCCAAGAATCAAGCACTTCACGATGCTGGAGCTGTTGTCCCAACTTCATTTGAAGCATTTGAAACTGTGATTAAAGAAACATTTGAGAAGCTGGTAAGCTGTTGCACATCTCATACCCATTACTGCCATTATGTAGGCATTCCTCACTACCACCAGTTTTAGTAAATCATTTGCTTACATTTTGCTTAGGTTGAGGGGGGCAATGTTACTCCTACAAAGGAAGTTTAAGCCTCCACAAATCCCTGAGGATCTTAATACTGCTATTAAGAGTGGAAAAGTCCGAGCTCCAACTCATATTATATCCACCATATCTGATGACAGAGGTATGATATATGCTATATATATTGTGTATGGGTTTAGGGTTTTCTTTCTCTTATATATTTAGGTGCCATAACTGCTGTAACAATATAGAGAATTAATGCAATATTAATCTTTTGTTGTTAAACTCACACCATCTAGGATACCGGGAGGACAGCAGTTCTGAATTTCTGCTTCAAACTGGAAATAAACTCTGCTAAATCTGTCTTTTGGAGGAGCTCATTGAGAATAAGGTTAACATTTCTTATGTTCAAAAGATGTTATCATTGCTTTGTACTCACCTGTCTTTCCTTAGGAAACAAATATTGCATTAAGTTTGCAATAAAAAACAAAGCAAGTACTTCTAAGTGATTAATCAACGTTGCCTATTTGGACATCTGAAATATGATCACTGAAACAAATTCTTTGTCTAATATGTTTTATTTTTCCTATGCAGCTTGATGGGTTTATCATCCCTCTGTTACAAGGGAATATCCTGAAGCTTTTCAATGCTTATTTTGTGTGTGTGTGTGTGCGCGTGTGTTTATGCATGAGCACATGCGTGCGTGTTAAAGGTAACTATGGATGCAAGAGTAGTTTCTTATTTATGGTGTTTTCACTTAACCAAGGCATAAGCTATCAGACTGGACAACTCAAGCTGAAAATTCACCAGCCATAATTACTTTAATTTCAAGGAGGTGTACACGGCGCTTAGGTAGTGCAATATAGACATCACTGGTTTTTGTTCCTATTAATATGGCTATGGCAAAACATTGTAGTAAGTGGTTGTTATGTTGAATGGAGGGACCCGAATGTGGAGAAGAGGGGCTAACCTTGAAGGTTCTATGTCTTCATTTTTACAGGTATTATTTCCACAGGAAATGTGCCTTCAGATACTGATTGTTCCGGTTAATATCTTTTCAACTCAATATCTTAAGTGGACCAATTCACTGGCTGACTTGCTTTTTTCTTCTCTGGACCCCAAAGTAAATTTCTGGCAAGTGAACCAATGAGTAACAGCTACTTCTTAATTTGCTTCAGATTCAAGGTTCAATTCCACTCCTTTGGGAGCAAATTGTTGATTTGAGCTATAAACCACGACTTAATATTATTGATCATGAGCAAACAGTATGTATTTTCTTCTGGATACAGCTCTTTATGTTTAAGTTGTGTAATGATGAGCATCTAACTGTGTTTTTCTTCCTTTAGTCAAAGGTTGTGGAGCGCCATTTTCATGATATTATAGAAAGATACGGAGAGACCGTAAAAGTTGACCTAACCGATAAGGTAAGACTTTCCAGCACCACACTAGGACATTAACCTGGGGCGTAGTTTCAATATGATTTCCTTACTGGAAGTGGAGAAATCCAGGTAGCAAATATGAATGTTCTTCTTTGAAGTCTATTTGTTATGTAAAAGAAACTCTATGATGGTTCAAACATTTTAGGAAATTATCACTATGGTAGCAAAAATTTTTTTACATTCTTTGAGTCAGTTTCGATGACATTGTCTGGGTCAGCTGGTCCACTTTATGGAATTCCAAACTGGAAATTTATGCACATAAGTTTACATATAATTTTATGCAATTATTGTTTTGTATTCTCCAATTGCAAATATTCATCTTTATGTTATCTTGTGTTGTAGCATGGCGATGAGGGTCAACTGAGTATGGCATATGCTACTGAAATGGAAAAGCTGCCAAATGTGAGGTGATTTTCTTTTCATGTTCATTGCAATTTGTGAACTTTTTTTAGATTTCTATGAGTATGGAAATCTTTAATTTTGAACAGATAATATTCATAGTGATAGATGTTTGCTTAGACATCCATTGATCAGTTTGGTTTGGTTTGGTTTGGTTTGGTTTGGTTTGGTTTGCAGCATTATTTTCTGAATTTTTTTGAAAAAAACTTAAATCTAATAAGTAAAAAACACTCATCATTTTTATATAGTCTTACAATTTTTTAGGGAGAAAATAATTTTTTAAAATTCAAAAATATCATTATGGTGTTTATTTTTGTCAAACTAATTTCTATTTTTCAGAAAAATTTTAGAAAAACAGATGTCTGGATCTGATGTTATAAAATGTTGAAAAAATTGTATTTTTAGTAGAAAGAGATGTATAAATGCAAAAGAGATGTGTCATTGTCTCTTTCTGCTTGAGTTCCAATTTTGGTGCTGAGAAGAGGTTCTACGATATGTGCCTGTACTTGCGCTTCAGATTATGCCATGTTTCTGATGCATTGATTGGAATATATTTTATATTGTCAGTACATTAGAAACCATCTAGGTCAACATGTGACTTGGATGACTGAAACACATCATAAATAGAATATTTGTTTGCCTTTTCGGCTTTTGAAAATCTTATTAACAAGATACCTAAGAGATAAACTAAAGAAAGATTACAGGAAAAAAAAAACAGTGAAAAAGATTGGAGGAGATAAAAGCAGGTGACAGCTTCAGTTGCCATTTGTACATGATCAACTTTTTGTTTCTTCTTCAACCACCATTATCACGTGCAATTAGGAAGGATAAGATTTTCCGGGCCTGCTGAAATTTGAGAGATAGATTGAATCATAGCAGCTTTTCATTTTTTTATGGAAAATCTATGCATATTACATATCATTTTCACATGCTCTGTTTCTAAATGAAAACATCATCTTTTAGACTTTCATTCCCTACTTAATATAAAGTTGAGGAGGGAAGTTGATATTAGTAATAACTAAGAGAGGTAACATAAATTGGTTTTTATGTGTAACACAATGGTACGAGTGTTTATACTTGGGTACAACTTGCAAGATTTAACAAAATTATGAAATACCTTCAAGTCATCAAAATTGCAATAATACTCACAAAAATTACAGTTGTGTCCTTGATGGTAAAAATATGCTAATTTATGCTTGGTAGTCATAAATCAAATTTATCAATAATTTTTATCATTGAATATTTACTTGTTTACTATTTTAAAGTTCCACCTCTTACTTCATGGTAAGTCTAAATCTAAATATCTGGTTTGTCCTGTTAGTTCAACAAACTTGGCTTTAATTTTCATTTTGTATTTGTATAAACCTTTATAAAGCTCACAGTTGCAAAATCAGTTATCTATCGTCTTCTTTTTTGTGTTGATGCTCCTACAACTGTATGTTGAATCTCTGAGTTCCTGTGCAGACCCATTTCATTATGTGTGCATTCTGAAATTAAAAATTTATTTGTTGTTGTAAGTTTATAATTCAAGTGAGAAATTGGGGAAGGAAGTTCTTAAAACCCATATTGTGTTATCAAGTTGACACTTCTCTTGAGTAATTGATACCCATATTTGAAATTCAATGGATACTTTTCTCAAGACGCATAATAAGCTTGAATTTCTTCACCCCTTCATGTGTTTGTGGAAAAATCTAAGTAGTTTGATCCATTTGAGGCCCCAAAGCCAAAAAATCATGTTTGGTTAAAAAAAAAAAAAAAAAAAAAAAAAAAAAAAAAAAAAAAAAAAAAAAAAAAAAACCTCTTCTGAAATGGGGAAATAATGGTTCTGGGAAGGGGAATAGTAGTGCCATTTTGGAACTTGTTCCTGAAACCAATGAGGGATCTTGATTTCAAGCTTCCTACATGTGTAAGGCTAAATGAAAAAATCGAAAAATTTATTTATCACATTGCAAGCATACAATTACAAACCTCTTCTTGCCGAGATAATTATATTGAACAATGGTTGCTTAACAATACTCTTGTTTATGAGCATGAACAATTTAGTTGTGTAATTATAGTTTAGAATTTTTTTATTTTTTTTAATGACAGGGATGGCATTTTTTTTTTTTAGGTTATCGGATTGCTTCTCAATGGTTCCATTTAATTTAATTTTATGATTTTTATAATTTAGTTCCAAATTTTATGAAATTGTAGGTACTGATTTGGTCTTTGATTACTTACCTTAAGTGTATGGCCCTTCAAAGGGCCTTCTGCTGGACTCAACAGCTGTGGCAAGTGGCCGTGCAAGGTTTGCAGTTTCCCAACAAATTTTAGAGGTAGGGTAGGGTTTTCAGTGTGCTCAATTGATCCCTCTCCCAAATTGATATGGCGTGTTTGGGTTGGATGAGTTTGAGGTCATGGATTTGCTAGATTGCATTGATAGTTCCTGGTTTCATGTTGTTGTATTCATTGGTGACTAGTCAATTAAAGATCTTGATATATCTTAGGATAGGGAGGCTTAACAGAAAGCAGCTGAAATCTAAAATGATGCAATAATGCATGTTAAATGGTGTTATTCCATAAGCAAAGTTCATAAAAAAAATTATTTAGGAGGAATAAATAAATATATATATATATATATATTTTTTTTGATTTGCAATGATGGCGTCTCACTGTTCAAGTTGTTCTTGTTGCTACTAACTTTTCTATATGTATTGTTCAACATGATAAGCCCTACAATCCTTTTGGGTGCTAAGTTGCTTAATGGATTTTGGATGAAGTTGAAGAACACCCGTTGGATTGGAGAGATTTCCATCTTAACAGCAATATGGAACTAAAACAGAGAGAAATGCCTGGATCCACACCCCCCCATCTTAGTTATTACCAATTTATGTTACTATGCTTGTGTTCCTACATGTTGCAGGTAGTTGATGCTCTTGAGATCTTCACAGTTATTAGGAAAATCCCGCATCTGTTGGGGTTTTTGAACTCTTTATTTGATTGTCAGTACAAGTAATTTTTCTCAGCATTTGGTAAGTATTTATCTTGTATATCTCATATTTTACCCTTGCAGTATTATATATTACATAGATAGGTAAACAAAATGTTGGACGTATTCATATTCTGCCTTTGATTATAGAGCTTCAAATCTGTTTACACTACCCATAGAATGAACTGGAAATTGAATGGCTGAAGTAATCTAATCATGATAGATTTGAGTATGTGGGATCTATATATAAAGGAGGATCACAAGCCCTTTCTCATGTTGACACAAGTACATACAATGCATGTATAAATGCCCCACTACTGTGAAGCTGATCAATTACTGAAACTATTGTTCCAATTTGAATATGTTGTCTTATAGTTTATTACAATCTGAAATTTTATCCAATTGATTTTCAGCTGGCCTGATGAAGCAAATAAAATTGGACCGTTATTTGCATCCCCACTTCCGGTATACATGAGGGAGGTTAGGACCGTGGTTTATTCCCAATTCTTGGAATCAAAAGCTAAGAAAGAACAGGTCACAAAAGATTATTCTAATTGCTTGGGAAGGGTTAGAGCTATGAACTTAAATTGAATTTAAGAGCAAAAATTAAACAATGCCAACATTGCCACATGAGCACTTCTTGTGGTCTACTACACTGGGATCATCCCCAGTTTATATATCTATTAAAATGATAGATATATAAATTTATTCACAACAGTCCCTCCAATAAATTTATTCACAGCACTTCTTGCCGTCGCAAAAAGTATTTGCCACTCCCATATTCGCGACCCCCATTTGCCGTCGCATGGGCCGTCGCAAAAAGTCTTTTCGCGACTGTTTTTTATTATTTGCGACGGTTTATAGCGGTCGCAAAAAGTGTTTTTTTTAGTAGTGTACAGTTTCTAAAACAGGTAATTGTATGATGATAAGCCGCGTGTGTTTGGCTCAAGTTAGATGGAAGGATTGAAATAATCATTTGGTGGGATTATTCATCATATTTACATGAATTCTCAATTTCAAATCTAACAAATCAAGTTACAATATGATGCCATGTTATTTTACTGTTATTTTTGTTCCATTAATCTGAAATTTATTTCTTGCTATGAGACAAAGCTACACTGAGAGTTGGCTAATGTATTTCTATACATCCATTTCAATGTCTTTACAAAGCCAAGGTACCGAGAATGCCAACACGGAAGGCATAATTGCAAAATACGATACAAAGTTTAACAAGAAGTTTAGCACCGACAGATTGAGTCTGAAATAAGAAAGTATGATAATGAATTTGACTACAAGACTGATTACGGTGAAGGTGTTGAAAGCTTCGGAGCCTATGGTGTGGATTATGATTATGAGTTATACTCCAGTACTTAAAAGAATATTTAAAATTATTAATAGGGTAATGCTATATAAATTAAGAAATTTTACAAATTTATCTAACTCACTAATATGATATATATCATATTATTTCGATGGGTGTGCTTCAGATTTTAAAGTTTTATTATTGCATGTTACATTATTAGTAATAAAAAAAAAATTGTAAAATTTGTAAGTTTATATGACATTTTTTATATTAATATCGTGTGTCATATAATTTTCTTTCTATGCTTAGTTTCAAATCAATATATTGGCAAGATATGTTTATAGTCTTTGTTACTTAAATGACTTGCTTGAAATACAGGTGTTGCCATTGGTGCTTTGACAGTTTTGGTGAGTAGCTCTTGGTTGTATTGGATTTTCAACAAAAGAAAGCAAATGAAGCTTAAAGAAAAGTTCTTCAAGCAGAATGGTGGATTAATGTTGAAACAACAACTCTCTAGATTAGAGAGACCGACTAGAGAAGTGATCAAAATCTTTACTTTAGAAGAGCTCAAGCGGGCTACCAACAACTACGATGACAATAGAATTGTTGGTAGAGGAGGTAATGACAATTGCCGACCAAGAGTTTTGGTCGCAAAAAATATATCTATTGCCGACCAAAAAAGCTCTTGGTCGTGGAAACTCACGTTTGCCGACCAAAAATTTTAGTCGCGAAAAGTAACAAATGGCGACCAAAACTTTTTTTGGTCGTGGAATGTCACAATTGGCGACCAAACTTTTTTGGTCGCGGAACGTCACAATTGGCGACCAAAATTTTTTGGTCGCGGAATGTCACGATTGGCGACCAAAATTTTTTGTCGTTGAATGTGATAATTGGCGACCAAACTTTTTGGTCGGGAAAATTTCACTTTTCGCGACCAAAGTGTTTTAGCGACTAAATGAATTAGTCGCGGTAATGATATATTTCGCGACCAAAAATTTGGTCGGCAAATCCGACTTTTCCCGACCAACCAAAATTTTGGTCGCGAATTACTTTTGCCGACCCTCAATTGGCGACCAAAGTAGCTACCAAAAAAATTGGTCGCGGATAACTTTTACCGACCAAAAATGGGCTTTTAGCGATCAATTTTTTGGTCGGCAAAAATGTTAATTCTTGTAGTGGGTGGTCCAAGGAACTCTTGGATACTTGGATCCGGAATACATGCTCACAAACCAATTAACAGAAAAAAGTGATGTTTACAGCTTTGGAGTAGTGCTTGTGGAGCTAATCACCGGAAAGAAGGTGTTGTCATTTGACAAGCCAGAGAAGGAGAGGAGTCTAGCTAGGTATTTTCTTTCCTGTATGAAAAATGATCGGTTGTTCCAAGTCATTGATGAACAAATAGAAATTGAAGGAATTGTTGAGGAGCTCACAGAAGTAGCCAATATTGCAAAGAGGTGCTTAATAGTAAAAGGAGAGGAAAGGCCTACCATGAAGGAAGTAACAATGGAATTGGAGGGGTTGATCAACAAAAAGATGAAGAAGCATCCATGGGTTAAAATTGATTTGAATGCTGAAGAGAGTGAGCACTTGCTTGGTGGGAAGTTAAGTGGGTTTGAGTTAGATTGTACTACTAGCAGTAATAACACAACAACAACTGGGTACGATAGTGTGAGGGAACAGATGATGTTGCCAATGGATGGTGGGAGGTGATTTTTTTGTACTGTTGAGTTCACAATGATAACAGATTGGGTGATGGTTTGTTATTACTGTCTTTTGTGTTTTGTAAAATGATGTGCTTACAATAGATCGTTTCGGTTTAATTTACATTTTCATATATAATTTTTCATTATTGCAATCTATTATTCAAATACATCAGGATATATAGGAATAATTTCATAAATAAATATCAAGTGATGACAGTAATTATAAATTGATGGAGTGCAACTAAGAGTTGATTTAGTGGTTTGGTTTGTCTCTAGTGTGCTATGTGGATTGGTCTAGTTTGGTCCGAGTCCTATTTTAATGATGAATTTGGGTGCACAGCAAGTACTGGTGTGCAACTTTATGAGCTTATTTTGGGATCTGTTTTAATAATCTAAACCATTCACATTTTAGAGTACATCGAGCATAACATACCTGTCAAAAATCAAGTTAATTAGATATCGTTAACCCTTTCATCTGCTCGCATTTGTATCTTGAAAAATAAATGACACTGTGATTTAAATTTTTAAAATGAATACAAATGTGATTTGATCTGTTGATCTTTTAAACCTCAATGTGTGGTCCATCCATGAAAAAATTAAATTGATCTTTTAATTATAATAACATGATTTTATCATGTTTGTCTTCAATGAAATAGATGACAGGTATAATTTGAAACAGATTGTTTGATTATCAATCTGATTTTTTATGAATGATCAGTACACCAATAAAATTACCAGATCAAATCACTAAAGCGAGGGTCTGTGGTTGACCTGCAGCCCAAACGGAATTGAGGACTAGAGAAAATGGTAAATTACATCATTGATATCTATAGTATGAACAAAATTTCACTTTAATTTTCGTAACAATTTAAATACTATATTTTCATTTCTATTTTAATATGATTCCTCTGTCATTTGTCATTGTTGTTTTGCATAGAAAACTAACATTTTCGATTGACATGTGCATGTTTGCAATTCCCATCTTAACAGAATTTTATTTTGTCTCTCTAATTTCACAATTGTCATTTTTCCTTTTTTCTTTTTTTTACCATTTAAATATTAATGGATAATGATAGATGGAGTAAATTGGAACCAAAATGAAAGTTTATGGACAAAATTGATAAAATTATAACTATGAAAATTAAAGTGAAATCTATATAAAACTATAAGAACTAATTGTGTAATTTATCCCAAATAATAATAATAATAATAATAATAATAATAATAATAAGTGTCTAGTAGATGAGAAGGAAAATACCTCTTCCTGAGCAACTCAAAGAAAATTGGCTATCTAGGGATGCAAGTAACTGTGCATGTTTGGCAGAGCTTAATTACAGCTTATTTAAGCTTTCAGCTTAATTTATGCTATTTTGATGTGTTTAGTTTAGCTTATAGCTTATAACTTTTTGGAAGTCAGAAATCAGCTTATTCTTTGAGTGGGGCAGGAGATGCTTTAAGAATAAGCTGGAAATCAGCTTAAGCTGAAAGTTATAAGCTATAAGCTGTTGAGGCATAAGCTATAAGTACTTTCCCACAACTTTACCAAACAAGGCCATTGTACCTTAAATTTTTTAGAGTGAGATTTGGGATTTCAAGATCAGGTAAAGTCTCAAATGTGCGGGTGTTTGAGATGGGGTATTTTTAGTAATTTTGTTGTTGGTTTTTTTTTTTTTAGTGAATTTTTTAAAAAATAATTTTAAAAAATTTAGAATTTTAGATTATCTAGATGAACTAGAAAATCTATAAAAAAAATTAAAAAATTAAAAATTAAAAGAAAAGCCTATTAAATGCACACAAAAAAGTTAGTTTTTTTATACCTTTTTTTCATTTTATTTTTTCGATTTTTTTCATTTTAATTTTTTAGATTCTTCTATCCTAAACAGATCAAATAAATAAATAAATAAATATGGATACAAATTTATAAATAAATAAAAAGAAGTAGTGTGACTTTTTTTAGTTAGATGCCAAACCACTCCGATAAAAAAGTGCTCACAGAGTTGGAGCTAGCTAGAGATTACCAATAATTAGGTATTGGGTTTTGGGCAAATTTTGAGTTTATTGCCGTCTTACATTGATCTACTTGCACCATTTAAACAAAGGTAATGTTAAAGATATTAAATTTTTACTAAATAAATGACTAAATGTCATTTTCTTTTGAACAATCATAAGAGACTTTAAGAAAGAGAGAAATATGAAGATTAAGAAAATGCTATATTTATTTATAAATTTTACAAATTGATGTGACAATTAAATTAGTATCTAATAACACTTCCGTCAAATTGAGAGAGTTTTCATAATTTTGTTTCTGGTTGATCCATCAAAGGAGACTAGAAATAATTATGTAACAATATAATTTTCAAAATTTAAAATAAAATAACTTAACAATATTTGTAGAACACCACATATAGAGAAAAGAATATAAAAATATAGGAAAAAAAATTAACCAATAAGAATGAGGCGTGTAGTCAATATTTTAAAATAGTCATTCTTGTTTATGTGAAAGTGTTGATGGTTCCATGGTTGTAAGGTATAATCATTTCTCATTCAATGTTAACGTCTATCCAAAGTATATAAATGTTTGATAACTCGTAATTGCCAAACAAAATAATATATATAAAGAAGTTAAGAATGAAAATGTTGCCGTTAAGTCCTTAAAGTATTGTTTAATATTGAGATTTGTATAAAAAGTACTTTGAAAATCATGAAAATGTATTTAAAAAGAAGTTTTGAGAACAATAAAATAGTACTTGAAATGGGTGAATAGTGTTTTGTGTTTTCATTAATTTTTTTTCTATTTCTTCATCAACCAAACCAATTGCAAAATAAAAATAGTAATACAACATACTTAAAATTTTTATCTAAAAACATCAATGTGTAATCTAAATTCACTATGTACATGAGCCTCACAAAACAAACATCAAAATTTTCAACACACTTTTTAATTTTGAACTACTTTTCTGGTAATTTTTTTTTGGTACAACAACTTTAACCAAATAAAAATATGGGCCTCTCTATGGATAGACTTTTAAGACTGACTTTTTAAGCTACCACAATTAAGTAAACATATGAGTGTCCCTATATGAATCATAACAAATCACAATATAACTCATTATCCAATATTAAACCAGCTCTATATGTAACATCTAAATAATAATACAATAAATAATTTTATTATTTCTAAAAGTCTTTTTTTTTTTTAATTTATCAGATTCATTATATTCGACTTTGAATCTTTACCGCTATGAGTGCAGCTTCTCTTTCTATGCTTCGTTGAGAAAAATTTAAAAACAAAAATATTAAACCTTAAAAATTGAATGAAAGTTTTTTTAAGGAATTTTTTTTGGGGGGATCAACATTCTAGATAGTTAAATTTGTTAGTTTGTTAGTAAAATTAGTGTACCATTTAAAGGATCGTCGCTACTCCATCAATTTGAACTCTTGACATTTTCTTACTGCACTCTAAGATGCAATTACACGCCAACTTGTCACAGGCATCTTGGCATTTTTTTTAAAGAATTTGGGAGAGAGGAATATGGACAAAATCCAAAGGTTGAGTGGTTGACCTGGTCGTCAAAAAGCTCTCTATTAGTCAAACTTGGAATTGGATGAAGATGAGATAAAGAACATGCTTTGAACTCATAGCTCAATTAATTCAATGCTTAGTGCAAAACTAATGTAAAGTTAATTTAATTAATTATTCCCAGCAGCACAACCTAACAACACATAAGGATATGACAACAATAAGCATGCCTAATGCCCACCTTCTTAAAAGTTTTTGATGTATGAGTTGAGAGAGCGAGCTCGCTTAATTTACAACCGCGCTGCATACCCCCAGTAGGGGTCGCGCCCCCAGTGACGTGGCGCGCCCCCACTGGCTGAAAGGTGTGCTTATTTATTTGTTTGATTTTAATTTATAGGACGGCACTAGCGGGTGTGTTTTTTTGTTGATTTGTTTGATTTTAATTTATATAATGGCATTTACGAGTGTACTTTTTTATTATTTGCATTTAACTGATGCCAAATCTGCACATCTGTTGTCTACGTGCACATCTGTTGTCTATGCGATTTGTTATGTAGATATGACGGATGAACCTGAAAGTAGTAGGCAGAAAGAGGTCAACAGTAAAATTGACAATCAAGTTGCTCCGGATGGCAAGGATGATGTTGTCGATGGGAAAGAAGAAGGGTTAGCTTCCCAAACCTATGATAGTTTACGAATGCTTACTAAGGTTGATGTTTTGCAAATGAAATTCAATTCAGAGGAGGATGCTTATTCTTTCTACAATGCATACGCTAGGGTCATCGGTTTTAGCGTACGAAGAAGTAGGAAACGAATTTGTGGAGACAACAAATTTGGGTTTGTTCAAGGGAAGGCGTAAGAGAAAAGAAATACTTACAGCATGTGGAACGGGTAAGAACTCCCAGGGCAGAAACTAGAATTTTTTGTAGTGCCATATTTCATGTGTGTTATGACAAGACAATTAAAAAATATGTTGTGACCCACTTTGTAGGGGAACACAACCATCCCTTGGCAGCACCACACTGCGTCCCTTTTTTGTGGTCACATAGGTTTGTAACAAGTGCAGACAAAGCTCAAGCAAAGGCCATGCGCAATGTGGGTATGAGAACGAGTCAAATCATGGATTTTATGGTCCATCAATCAGGGGGTTATGAGAAGGTGAACTTTATTCACAGAGATTTGCACAACCAGTTCCAAGCTGAGCGCAAAGTACAACTCGCAGAAGGGGATGTAGAGGGTGCCTTAGGATACTTATCAGCTAAACTAGATGCAGATCCATTAATTTTTTTCAAGTACAACGTCGATAAGGATAACCGGTTGGACAAGATTTTCTGGGTAGATGGTAGGTCTCGGATGGACTATGCTGCATTTGCTGATGTATTGGTATTTGATACAACTTATCGTACAAATCAGTATAAGAAGCCATTTGTGATTCTAGCTGGCATGAGTAACCATTTTATGACAATCATATTTGGATGTGCTTTGTTGCCTGATGAGACAATGGAGACATACACGTGGGTGTTGGAAACGTTAATGGAGGCCATGGATGGACAAAGACCCATCTCTGTTGTAACAGATGGTGATAGGGCAATGTGTCAGGCAATCGAAAGAGTTATTCCAAATTGCAGACATCGTTTATGTTCTTGGCATCTGGAGAAAAATGCCTCAACAAATGTCCACTATAGCGACCCCGATCTTTTCCCACTTGATTATTGTATCCGGACTTAGGTTCCGTAGATTCTGTCATTGTATAATTGTTGTTGTTGTCTTTTTTTTCTCATTTGGAATTATAGGATGTATTGGGCAGGTTTGTTTCAGGTTGGTTGGGTTTAGGAACCAAGTGTTGTTGTCCAGGTTTTTGGTTCTTCGCTCGAGCGAGGAGTTGTTCGCTCGAGCGAATGGTTGCGTTTGTTTTGGACCTGTAGCTGTTCATTCTTGGCTCGAGCGAGATTTTCTTCGCTCGAGCGAGTTAGTTCGTCCTTCGCTCGAGCAATAGTTCCTTCGCTCGAGCGTCGCTCGAGCGAGTTAGTTTGTTCTTCGCTCGAGCAATAGTTCCTTCGCTCGAGCGTGAGTCTGGTTTCAGACCTGAGGGTTTGAGTTCTTCGCTCGATCGAGCTTTCTTTCGCTCGAGCGAGCTTGTGGGTTGTTGGCTCGAGCAAGGCTTCCTTGGCTCGAGCGTAGATTCTCTGTGTCTGGTCGCTCGAGCGACCAAGTCTTCGCTCGAGCGAGCCTGTCCAGTTTATATACCCAGCAGCGGGTTTTGATCAGTCTTTTCTTATTCTTTTTGGTTCTAAACCCTAGGTCCGACTTCTCTCCCTCAAAACTCATCTTCTCTTTAGGTGTTCATCTACTTCTAGTGTGAATCCATCTTAAGTTCTTTGTAAGAAAGATAGAGGGCGGCTTGGGCATCATTCTAATCTGAACATTTGGTGATTTGGAGCATATTGGAATTTGGGCACTCATCTCTGTCTTCACCTTTTGGGTTGTTTTCTTTGAGGTAGGGATTTCCTACTCCATTTTATAGGTTTGTTCTAAGCCTTGGTAATTTGATATGTTGGGGATACTTTGGTAAATTTTTGGGAAAAACTCTGGTAGTGTTATTGAATTAATTTGTATAAGTAATTCATGGAATTGGGAATTCATTGATTAAATAGCGTAATTGTGTAATTGGAATCATTTGTCTATTTAATTGTTGATATAGTTATTTTCAGTTTAGAAATAACTGTTTTGGGCTATCGGTGGAGGATAGTCGTGATTGTTGTAGACATTGCATGTTATTGAATTGTGGACATAGTTATTTTCAGTTTAGAAATAACTGTTTTGGGCTATCGGTGGAGGATAGTCGTGAGTGTTATAGACATTGCATGTGAATTAGGAATAACTGAAACTAATCACGTTGGTTAAGTCATTAATTTTGACTATGGCATTGGGAAAATTGAAACTAATCAATTTGTTTAAGTCATCAATTTAGACTATTGAATTAATACATAAAATACATGTATTGATTGAGCATTGCATATGCATATTGTTTGGGAGGTTTGGGAGGAGATAGGGGATGTACTCCACAGTTTAGGGGAAGATAGGGGATGGACCTGTAAACCGGATTTTGTTTGGGAGGAGATAGTGGATGGACTCCATTAGCATCACATTTATGTGTGCTTATTGATATTGAAGTGTTATTACATGTTATTGATATAGCACTAAAATGTGTATCAAACGGAATGTGTATCAATCTGGAAGTATGAAGTGTTTGATTTGAGCTTGAGTCTCATTTGTTTGTTGATATTGGAAGGATGTGAATATGATAGATGTGATTCACTGTTATAAGTTTGGCCAGGTTCTGAGCCATGTTGATAAAATTGGAAAGTAAAACGTATCTTTGGCAATAGTGTCATGAGACTGTAAAATGAAGTAATTGATTATTTTGGTTAACCATCGGTTGAATGCTATTGCTTTATTCATGTTTATCTTGGTTAACCATCTGTTGAATGCTATTGTTTTATTCATTGCTTATATGTGGTTTAGTATATTTCTACTGGGTTGTGGCTCACCCTTTATGGGAACATCATTTTCAGGTTCAGGTGATAAACTACCTCCAAGGACTTAGCTTGGGAGGGTTTGACTTCTGGTTTGAAGAAGACTACCTTTAGTTAATTGTCTTGATTTATTAGTACATGTAAACATTCAAGCCTAGGGCTTTTCTTGTTTTGAGTTAGAACTCATATTTTTTTTGTATCCAAGTGTTGGCTTGGAAAAATGTAAGCCTGTAAGGCATTTTATTCAATGTTACATGTAATGCTTTATTTAGTAATACTCTGATGAATGAATTAATAAATTGTCTTCTTTAAATAATGCATGTCAATGATATATATAATGGGTTAATTTTGAGGGCGTTACACTAACAAGCTTCGAACACCCATAGCAACCTAATACACCCCAGGACAAACAACCAACCAAAACACCCATTGTACAAATCTTCTACTCCGGTCCAAACTCCACTCACCCACTGCAGAAGCTCCATGTTAACAACCCGAACACCGAGAAATGTTCCTCCTGGTGCAGCCCAGCACACTGCTCTTACAGCTAAGTGGTTCCATCCTTTAAATACCTCTCTTTGTCCTTAAGCTCCAGCTCAAGAATCTTCTCAACCACACCCTCTTCTTGCCCACATAAATTAATTCCCAGCTCTTTTCCTAATTTGACAGTGGCCTGCGCTTCCTTGAGAAGATAGCTATGCGTGCTTGATTCCCCCTCGGACAGTTCAGAGTTTGCAAGGGCCACTGCTGCTGGCCTGAAAATAACCGATTTGGAGGGAAGCCTACCGAAAGCTCCGGATTGGTGACCATAAAGTCGAGCAAACCGAGAAAAGCCTTCCATCTGAACCTTCTTTTTCCCAGCTTTCTTGGTCGACCGATTTGGGTTGAGGAAGGAAGCAGGACAATGAACAGGGCCTTGATCATGTAACCTCAAAGTGCCTGACCCATTAGAACCACCAGTTAAGAGAGGCCCAGGTAATAAAGGACCTTGAACTCTTTGCTCATTATTCGGAGAGCCCAAAACAACCTCCAAATTAATTCCAGGCCCAAAACCATCTACCAACCCGCTGAGACTTTTGAACAAACCAGTTTCAGAATCGTGCTCAACACACCTCAATGAATGGTCATCTCTCTTTGGGTAGGGTGCAGACTCCTCCATCATTGCTTCTTTCCCACCTAACACAATAGGTCTGCTGACCTCCACATCATATCGAGTCTCCTCAACAACTGTGTCCACCGCCTCTGAACAGTTACATTGAGACAGCTCCTTCCTTTGTGCCTCTTCAATGGAGGAAGGTAACACAGCATCAACCAAGGCAAACTTATTTGCCACTAAACCAACATCGTCCTTCCTCTTGCAAGCCCCATCTGTGGAGTCTTTTTCCTCAGCTCTGCTTAATTCCACTTTGGAGCTACTATTGCAATCACCCAGCCCACTTTTTCTCATCCCAGTACTCTCCACTGGATTGACACAATGTTCTTCACAAACAAAAATTGGGTGTAATTTACCCTTGCATTCCAGATGAATGGTTTTATTAATGAGCTCCATGCATGTTGTAACCACTTTAATTCTGGAGTATGAAAAAGACTTTGGTTGGCTAAGATCACCCTCCAAATGAAGAACTGACCCCCACAAAGCTCCAATGTTATTAAGGTTGCTCCTATTCCAGAGGTTTAGAGGAATACCAAGACATTTCAACCAAACACATCTCTCTTGGACTATTTGGATTCCTAGCCTCCATTCCAAAATAAACTTACTCCAATCTTTAAACCAGTCCTTGATCTTCTGAATATTTGATTGAAGCTCCTCCTGGGATTTGAAAGTCAAGATAGCATCCCTGCCGCCCCCTTGTCTGACCACCACTTGATCTAACCCGATATCCTTCAAAGCAGATCTGATACTGTTAATGGAGAAATCCAAATTGAGCCTAATAATTATGCTTTCGTAAAGCCACCCGTGACCATCTTCATTGGCTTTGACGGTCATGCTAGCTTTAACATCCACCATGTTCGAGTCCCCTTGTAGTACCTCTGCATATGATTTGTGGCCGAAAAACTGGGTTGTAACTTTACCTCTGTATGGGTTAAAGTCTTCTCTGATGACCTGGGGCCTTCTTATGCTAGGCACACTCCTGTCATGAGTTGTATACTTGACTGCAAGTATCTCATCATCCACCAAAAGTCCATTAGTTTTCTGGACTGCCATGTCTGATGCAACATGACAGTCGAATCCCACAAAACCGAATCTTGAATTCGTCGCTTTTCTTCTTTTGAAAGGGATGAAGACATCTTTGACTACACCAAACTTATTGAAGAGTTTGAACAAAGACTTTGCATCAAAAGAACTTGGGATATTGTCCACGAACACAGTAAACAGACCACTCCTTTCGTCATCGCCCCGAGATCCACCTCCTCGCCTTTGATTCACAACCGGGATCCAACCACCATTTCTTCCTTGCTCCATTCTTGATCCTTTTTGCAAGTTTTCAAAATGATGAGCAACTGAACATCATGATGTTGAGCAATTGTTAAAGCATCAGCTAAAGTGTAAAAGTGGTGGATCCTATTTTATTCCTCCCTCTAAAAATTTTCCAATTGTCTCGAAAGCAAAAATATCTACTCATCATTCTCACGTAGCATTCCAGAGAAGTCCTGCTAAAAATTTTTTTTTTTTTTGGGTCATTACGCTCCTGCTGTCTCTGCTTTGCTTTTTTAATTTTTTTTTCATTTTTTTTTGGAGAAATTTTTCCCAAAACGACGTTGTTTTAGGGCATCGCAGGAGCCCCTGCAAACAAACACGACAGAGGATCCGAACTCACGTAATGGAAGCATTCAATCAATAATATTATGATAATTTTTCTTCTTTATGGATTCAAGGTTATATTTTTCTCATGTATTCGACAGTTGCGTTAATACTTTTTGAATGTCTCAAATATTTTCTAATATAAAGTTTAAATTATTCAAATTAAAACTACGAACATTAATATGATATTTTGCTTAAGATCCTGAGGTTAATGGTCTAATTTATCCTTCGATTACAACCAAAGCAATTTTAAATTATGTTCCAAAGTAGAATTGTTAGATTATGTTAGATGATGAAAAATTAAGGCAAATAAAAACATTTGTGATGTGAAGAGATATGATTCGATTATTCAAATATCTCAAAAATTGTGCTTAGGAAATACCGTGTAG